CGCAATTTTTCATGAGTTTCAAGTTGTACTAGACAAAAAAAAAAAAACATAAAATAAAGTTAGTGACTACCGTTTTCACACCGTATCAGTTAAATTATTAATTTATGGTCACTGAAACAAAACTTAATGAAGTCCTGAGTCTTCGTATTTTAACTTGAATTCTGGTTTGAATACGTCACTTGTTTGATTCATTCGATACAGTGTTCATAATAGTTCTTGACATCAGCAAATCCCTATCCAAATATCTTCTTTTTTTCCCACCGTAAGTCACCCGGCAACGTTTTGAGATATTGACTTATTCTTCGCATAGGAAAAAAATGGTAAAACCATAAACTCTAGTGTCTGTGACAAAACATGCTGTTTCCATCCCATTTATTATAAATTAGTTTGTAAAATCAGCCGTCGTTATCGTTAATTAGATTCGACTGATATTTCGTGTAGAAATAATCAAATCCGTAATATTCACGTCACGTCATCGCGTTGACGGAAACAAAATGAGATAGTGCAATAGTAGGCTACATCGTATTTTGGCGGGAATCAGTATTGATATTTTAATAACATCGATGTTCTACATGTTCGGATTTTTTTTCTTTTAAACTGTGTTATACTCATTCTCCTGGAATTTATTAGCTACGTTTACCTATTGAGTTTAACCATCACTAAACATTACTTATTACTCACTAAGTTGTCCAAGATTGGTATCACCGATGTGACCCCCAAATGGTTTCGCCGATCAAACTTTGATCGTATATATCAAACCGTTTTTAATTGAAAGCACAATTAGTGAACCTCCAGAGTTTCATTTTCGGATAAAATAGGGCTTAGTACTCGGACCCCTTCTGTTTCCCATCTAGATATTAGAGAACTCGTGCGTCAACACAACTTACAGCTCAACCAGGATGCATTCCCCCGTCATATTTGTTTTTGCATTCTGAAAGCAATCGAGCAATCAGTGATAAATCAAATACCCCCCCCCCCTCAGGTCTGTAAGGCCTTCCCTGGCTACCAGTGCGATATAGAATCGAATACTAAATGTTTTTGTCTACAACTTCCGGGAAGGCAGTTGTAATGGCACATGTGCTCTTGTACACATGCATACCTACCCGTGCTCATCACTGTTCGCTACAAGAACTAATTAACAGTCATCAAATACATACACATTGCGTGTGTTGGTCGTGCTTTTTTCCATACCGCTCCTCAACTCTGGAATTCCCTTCCCATCGAACTCAGACAGATACCACAGCCATTTTCTAAACAGTACTTAAAACCCGAGAGTGGCAGCTTTTGGTTGGGAATGATCCGCAGCAAATTAATAACTGGGCCCAAAAAGATCAACGTTGAGGGCGATTTTTTGGCTAAAAAAAAAAGTGTTCGAAAAAAATATGGGAGTACCTTCCCCAGGATTTAAAAAAACTTAGATGTTTTGTAAAGCGTACAGAGTGGTGCAACTTTAGCGCCATAAACGTGATATTGTGACGGATATGTCATTATTGTTTGTATCTAAATTTGATCGTATATTTGAATTTCCGACTTATGGTTTGGTATCTATGTGTGCATAACTGAATTTAGGATTTTCACGCAAACCTTGATTGCGAGGCCGAAAACAGGTGATTGCTCGATGAAAAAGAAAGAAACAAATGGCACGTGGTAAGAGTGGCATTGGATGCGAGAGTGAGAGAAGGAAAACGAATGAATAAATAAATAACATTTGTGTATTCGTGCAGGTATTTATTTCCAATAATTATACCAGATCGTTCTATTGCAGTCACATTATGCGTCAGGTGGTCATCACCGAATCTGAGTAAAGTAAACAAACATTGTATTTTACACACGTCGTATACGTTGCATGGAACTCATATCGAACCCTTTAATTTTAAAATCATACCGTGACGACGAACGCAGCCTTTTAAAAAGTCCTAAAGCAGCCATAGTTACCATAGGTTATTCACATAAATATAATTGTCCTGTCTGTTTCATAATGATGTTCGAATACTCCCATATAAAACAAAATGTAATAATATGCTTTGCTGGCATGGTCGTCATATTATTGAGAGATATTCTTTGCAAATAACAGTACTTTAACCTTTGTAACCGCACGAGAGTCCATTTATCCGAAAACAATAGCGAACCATGGGACATACAAAATAGAGTGAAAGCTTCCCTAACCAGAAGTACAAGTCTACTCTATTATTTCAAGCTAAAAATAGATTTTTCACAGGCGATAGTGCAAAACAACGGTAAACACCAAAGTTCAGTGGCGGATCCAGCAAAATGTATGGGGGGGGTCCAAGCGATATACGGAGCGTAAATCACAGAGAAGCTATGCGTAATCCAGATGATATGAATCGTCATGTGTTTGGGGGGCATGGGCGCCCCTTTCCCTCTGGATCCGCCACTGCCAAAGTTTATGTATAACCATTTCGTTTGACGTTTTATCGTTTCGAGCATTGGGACGAAAAGTCTTACACATCTATTCAGCATGCATAATAAACACAATACAGTCACTCCGGCCTCGCCACAGTAATTCGCATGTATAACACTGGGACGGGAGGTGGGTGCTTGCCGACGAATGGTGTACTATATAATTATTCTTTTCATGTCGAAATACATTTTTTACAGGTTCAAAAATTTGGACTGACTAATTCGGGCTAAAATGGTGAAATTGCTATCTGTCCACAACCTGCCCTCCGGCTTTCTCAACTTGTTGGATTTGGATTTGTCTAGCCCATTCATCATTGCACACAAATTCCCCTGCCCTAAAAAAATGCAAAATCTTCTTCTACACACAACAGAAAATTTTTCCAAGCTTTTAAAAAATAATCATCTTTGAGCAGCTCCTTTGACTGCATCTGGGGAGGTAGTGTTGGAATAGCGTTACCTACTCCCCTTTACAAAAGGTACATGCCCGGCTACATGCATGATTGTTTCAAGAAATAAAGGGCAGCCGTAACTCGAACACTCAAATAAATCGATCAGCGGCTGTGCCAATTACAAGTAGTGATGAAAAATCTGAAAAAAAAAGTCAGTTTAGTGATCGATTAATTCGGATTTTTTTCAACGACTGAGTGTGATATATACCCACTCTTTTATCAGCAAAACAGAAATGAAAATGCACATGGTGACTGATTAATGTAAATAAATTTAAAATACTATGAATACAAAACAGTCGTCGGGCATATATGAATAAAATATTTACTAATAAAAATTCAAATGTCCGTTGCGCCGACTGAGTGCTCGATATTGAACTCCGACCTAACATTACCCACAATACAACATACTGTTATGTTTTGCAATACCCGGATGTGAGGCTTGGCAACCACAAAATCAAACATGGCGGACTCCGAGAGCTTGGACGCAACTTCGGTCCAAGAACAACAAGAAGATCCCTTGGCGGATTTGACAGATGAACAACTTCAGAATCTTGTTCTCGAGTGTAGGTTAGTTGTTAGAGCGTTATAATTTTAATTTGACATGCGTTGTCTGCAATATGCTCCGGGTTATCTTAATGGCATTGGTGATAGACCAAATGACATGCACGGACAAAATATAGCACTGATTCAATGACTGAACACTTGATTCCCATGCAATAGTTTATTTTGGAGCATTTTTTCTAATAACATATTGACATGCCCGGGTTTTAAGAAGATTTATGCCCATCGTCCATGGTGAAATACAGGCGGGAGCGTAATCAACGGAGACGCTTGGTCACTACGGTACTGTGTAGTGGTATACTATATACTGCTAACCCCACCACTGTTTCACAGATTACTAGTACAGTTTGTATATGTGAGAGTAATATAATAGAACACCGTCCCTCACTAGAACACGGTTACTAGAAGACGTGACTAGAACTAGGGATTTTAGTCGCGTGAAGTTGACACTAAGACAGTGTGACAGACCCTACACTAGTAGTTTAAACTGCCAGTAAAGTATTTAAAAAAAAGTATCACTTGTTGTTGCTGTTAATTTTTTTCTGTGATAGTTTTTAATGCCCGAAAATTTTGTACAGAACATCAAACTCAGAAGCGGGCACAAAATCATGCTTCCACTGTATGCGCTCCCCAACATTTGGAAAAAGCTAATGCAAATTATATTATACCAGTTTATTGATGGTGTTAATCCATCGATTTGATTGGTCAAAACAAAAAAATTGCATACTGTGGAATACTTTATTTTCGCTGGAATTAATTTTCGTTGAAAAGGCTTTTTGGGCGTTCTTTATGGAATTTATTTTCACTGACTTTTGATGAGTTGAATGTGAAATATAGGAAAAAAAGTATATTCGCTGGATTTTATTTTCACGGAATCATCCCTTCAGCGAAAATAGCGAAAATAAATTCCAAGCAAAAATAAAGAATTCTACAGTATGCAATTAATGGTATATTGGCTGATAATGCACAGTTAAGCTAAACAAAGTGGCCCCGGAACATGAATTGACTACAGCTTTGATGCGGGAATACATAAAACAGTATTTGATTTTTAGGAAAATATAGTGGTTGAATTTTGGAAAAATATTGAAAAAATTACCGAATTAAAAACATCTGAAATATTGTATATAACCATAATATTGCTTTTTGTTAATGGCGAGATCCAAGTTGTGAGGGTCGGTTGTTGGGTGATCGTTGACCACCAGAACGCTGTATGTTCTGGTAAAACATGTCTTGTCCTCCGTGTTGTGATGTATGCTACCAATAGCAACCAGTGTCCCGTAGCGGCATTAAAATTCTAGCAGATAAAATTGCACCAAAGTAATTGCCATCTGTTTCAAAGACCACGGCATAGCTCAGAATTTGACGGCTATATATGGTATTGTAATTTTCCACTGGGGTGAATAAATTAGGGAAGATGATGAGAGTAATTTCAAAAGCTGCAGATTTGTCCCGAGTGTACACCAACCACTGTATTAGAGCGACGGTGTGCGAAGTCCTTCATTCGGCCAGAGTTGAGACAAGGCATATCATGTATGTGTCACAAAAATGATGCAAGCATCCGATCTTACACTAACAAACTTACTTTGGAACAACAACAAAACTTGTCAGGCATTCTGTCACAAAACCTTGGTTATACCAAAGATGTATCCAGGTCAGATCTTGGGTCTGAGGCCGCCGTGTCGGTCACCGTACACAACTGTACTTTCAATGTCCAAATTGTACAAAAACCGGAATGAAAACATGGACAATTCGTTGTTTTAATGATTCAAATTATACACGTCTCTGTACTTCAAATGGCATTGACGTAGTCAGTTAAATGTTAGGAAGGTCATCTTTTCTTTTGCTAATTTTTGTGTTTATGCTGTTTTATTCGCTGTGGCTCAAGCATATATGTCATGAATTGTGCAATATCTTGTGGTAATACCACCTTCGGCGGGGGGTTATTGCTTAATTATATAATAATAGAACAACGCACAGAAATGGATTTGAAATGATTGACCCCAATATGTAGATGTAATCACATATACCGGTGGTACCTGTACCAATGAACAGGAGATTATCTTTTGTGTTTTATATGCGTGTGGCCGAACATGGTCAGAAGTTCAGCCAAACTGAAATAACGGCCCTGACATTGGGTTCTCGTTTAGGTGGACCCCAAAAGTTTATTGGAGCCAAATGTCTGATGTTACCAGTACATTTTCCTTTAATAATCCTTCTGTTTACAGATCTCAGAACTTTGTATTGGACAATGAAACCAGTATGTTTGAAAAGTTTCTCAAGCGAGTGGAGCCCAACATGATGCTCACACCATCAGCTGCACCAACACCAAGTGTCTCAGTTCAAGATACTCGGATAATGAGAAAAAGATCCAAATCTAAAGGTGGCGGTGTGGACAAACACTTGAAACTAACAGCTGAACAGAAATGTGACATAGCTCAAAGAGAAATAGAAGAACTCCGAGAGGAAATTGAAAAGTTGAAAGAAGATTCTGAAAAAGTATTGGACACGTATAGGGTACGGATTATTTGATCTTTTTTCACAGTTATTAAGCTGTGAATTGTTCTCCAAAAATGTTGGTTGACATATGTAATGGTGTTTGAATTTCACAAGGTATTTCAAAATAAATGTATGTTCTACTGTATGTTTCACTCCCCTCCTCCAAGACATTGCCTGCTGAAAGCTGAAAGCGAAAAAAAAAGGGAAAACACAGCGTCAGCAGTCAGTGTGATGAAGTGTATAGTGGTATAATTTAGAATATCTCTGCTTAACTTAATCTGCTATATTCTTAGATTGTGAGTGATACTAATAATAGAATTATAGGTTTAAAATCTATATTTTTCTCCAGGCAATTATGGAAGAAGCTGACATGAGATTTGCTGAGATTAAAAAAGCATATTATGAATTTGAACGAGACATTGTCAAGGGCGCATCCAATCCAAGGACGGGCAAGGTTGTGTCCGAAAAAGTGTCCAGGTATTTTGAGGACAAATTAAGACAAAGGGACACATTGATTGAAAAATTGAGACTTAAGAATTCAACATTGAAAGTTCAAAAGAAGAAGCTACAACTACAATTAAAACAGGTAAACATGTTAACTATTACTAATATAGTATTTGAGATATTAATAAACAAATGTTGTCTATAAGTTGTTGTCATCTAGCTGTGAGTGTTATGACATCACCATGTTCGGTTCTGCTGAATGCATTGTTGGTGTTGCTTGACTCTTGAAACCTGACTGCTTGATAGTAGCCATGCTGAATGTGAATGGGTGACTTTCCACATGCGTAGCATACATGGGTTTTGCAAGCATATAATGCTACTGTTGACTCACTTGCATAAAGCCATTCACTCCATTGGCATGGCAACCATCACCAGGTGATGCTGCTGGATATACTCAATCTTGAAACAACCTAGTTGTGCTTTACAACATGACAATTTAAACTTGTTACTTACTGTGGACAAAAATCAAACCCAACCAGCAGTGTAACATTATTGATATCACTTTTCCCCATTGCACACTGTTACATTTGAACTGTCAATATTGCTATTTTGTTTGCAAAATGGTGAGCTATATTGCAATAGTACTGGTTGGGGTAATTTTTCGTACACAGTAAAGATACAATATGGACAAGAACATGTAACTCTTTTAATATTGTTGTTTAATATTGTATATTAATGACTACATTAGGCTATTATTCATCATGAACTGAAAATGCTATACCTGTAGTACACGTCAGCGTATTTGTTAGATGAAGCAATGAAATTCTCTAATACGCATCATGTGCACTGGTTTTTAGCGATTTTAGATTTTTTATCTAACGAATACTGTTGCGTGTACAGGACATTTTTAATTTATGATAAATCATAGTCTAACTCACAGTATTAAACAATCATAGCTGTCCACTAATTAAATGTGACTGTTGTTTTCAACAGAAAGAAGAAATGGGTGAGGTGCTACATGAAGTTGATTTCCAACAATTGAAGATTGAGAACAGTCAATATTTAGAAAAAATAGATGAAAGAAACCAGGATCTACTGAGATTGAAGTTAATGGCTGGCAATACATTACAAGTGCTAAATACATATAAGGTAAGTACTGTAAAATACTTTACTTTCCCTTGGAATTAATTTTCACTATTTTTGCTGAAGGAATGATTCAGTGAAAATAAAATCTAGCGAATATACTGTTTTTCCTATATTTTACATTCAACTTTTCAAAAATCAGTGAAAATAAAATCCACACAAAACACCCAAAAAGTTTTTTCAGCCAAATTAAAGTATTTCACAGTAGCCGAGTTCGAATTTCATCCATGGAGTATGTTATTTCTATTTCAATTTGGTTACACATTTATACACACTTTAGTATAAACGTTGATTATTGATTGATGATCATAAACACCCTACCGGTAAGTTGAACTGTGCCTTGACAGCAATGAGTACCTTGTAAAAAGTCTTTTTATCTCCACAGAAAAAACTACATACTTTAACAATGGAATCTGATCGACTCAAATCTGAGATTTCATCTCGGAATGATTTACTATATAGAATAGATGCTGAAACAGAACAAGTGGAAGTGGTATGTATTTTTCATTTGTGCTCCATCTTCCCCAGCCAAGATTCAATAACCTGATTGTTGTCTCACCATTATACAGGATTGCCGCTGTTTAAATGTACATTGTATTCACTGTCAATGAAATCAAACACAACAACGCAAGCGACATGCTCTGATGCATTTTCATGGTTGGTAAATGAAACCTGAATTTCCATGACGTGTAATATAAGGCAACCTAATCTATTTCTGTCATTTTCATTAGCGTATGTGCTACTAATAGAGAAACTATGGTAGCCCATGTATGAATCAAAACACTGGGATAATTGTTTTTTTCTGTTTATAGGAAAGGGCCACAGCCGAGAAATTAAATCGAAAACTACGACAACAGCTGGATGATTACAAAGTGCCAGAGGTAGTAGAATACGTGAGAGAGAAGGCAGATTTATATGAATTGAATAAGACTGTCAAAAGCTGGGAAAGGAAAGTTGAAATTGCTGAGGTATAGTGGATTTACACTACCATACTAGTTTAATCCTGCACCCAAAACAGAAAGCTGTGGTCTCTAATAGCATTGACCTACCCGGTACTCACTGATCTATTTCTGGAACGACCAGGTTAAACCAGTTAGAAACTATTTTCATAATTTGCAGATGAAAGGAAGTAAACTGTTGTCCACTTTATTATTATTTCCGTAAAAGTAATGATTATGTGGCAAATCTTGAGCAATTTTCACGAGCTATGATCAAAATTGTGAGAGAAATTATTGTAAAGAAGAATACACTTTGATTGTATCTACTATGATGTTTTCGCTGTAATTAATCCTAATCGTGTTTGTTTTAGATATTGGTTATGCAATTCATTGAAAAGTCCATGGTTATGATTAGACCCCCTATAGCGAAGTTTTGTGAAACACTTTAACAATATTTTTTTTTTTCTACTTTGTCTCTAGATGGCTTTAAATACTCACAGAAAAACTTGGTACCAGCTGAAATTAGCCAGTCAACAACACAACCCATGGGGTATGGAAACCGTCAACTAAATCGCCATATGTCTGTAGATATTGTAAATAACTGGGTGATAGATATTGCAGTTTCCTCCCACTAAATGAGTACTGGGAGTTCATTGCCATTGTCAAAGCTATATTAATAACCATATGTATGTGTTATGTATAAATGCTATTCTTCAAAAAAAAAAACTCTGTACTTTATTTCTGTTTTCTTTGTAAATATTTTTCAAAAGTAAATTTGTGTCAACAAATAAATTTGTTTTAAATTATCAATTGTCTTCCATTTGATGATCGACAAAGTGGAATGAAACTCTGTATCATATGGAGTATGCTAAAATTGCATACTTATTCCCAGGGTTTCAATCTGATCTATTCCAAGCTGGTTGAATGCTGGCTATGAATTAGATTAACCTGTTAAAGATGGTATTGTGATGAACATGCATCTGTAGCACATAAGATGCCTGAAGTCACAATGCTGTACATATCACGCTGTAAACTATCCAATCTGGCCAGTGAGATCCAGAATGAGACTTTTGTTATTGTCGAATTAACCACTCACAGTCTGCAGCGAATACATTTGCATAGTAATTTCAATTTGTCAATGGTGAGTGTTATTGCTAATTTGCGTTTGAGAATGTTTGATAATGTTTGATAATCTCTGATGATTTACTCTGTGACCCAGCTGTCATTCAGATAAACACAACATATCTGTACCCGTGTAATACACCTGATGGGAAAAATTGTTTTATATTCATTAAGTAATTTGAAAAATTAAGGTGTAAACTAAGTGATTACACAATAATTGAACTGTGCCTGACCCTATTTCGTTTTTTATTGACGTTTCTATGCGTTCTCATAAAATGCGCCACCAACGTCAGGGTTCGCCGTTTTAACCTTTGACACATTCATAACGAGGCTTGGCGTTTGCTGTACGTTGTTTTGGCGTGGATTTTGGAGATACCTACAAAAATCCACCATCATCATGAAGCTCGTGCGGTAAGTTTTCGGTTTTGATGATTCATATCATTGTTGGTATAACGAGTATTGTTGCTGAGATGGTTTTAACTGGGAATATTGAAAACTGAGACGAGTATTTTCAAGTAACTGTCCAGGATCTATGGATGATGGCTTCATTTACTCCACCGTCCGTCAACAATTTACGTAAACCCCTTCCCACAAATGCTTTGTGTTAAATTGATCAAATCGCCGCGTATTTTTTTCATTTGTTAATATCAATCATGCTGCATTTTGTTAAACAAGGTTAATATGGTGTATGAAAACCCCCTCGTCTTTCGGCGGTTGTGGGGACTTCTATTTCCCATTGTTTACAAAATGCAGTGAACATGAATGGTTTCCTTGGGGGGTTTCCTACCTAACAGTTTGTAAATCTTTGTTCAAGTTTTGATGATACATTGATATTTCTTATATAATTCTATTTAACTAACGAAATGATAGATTTTTTGACCTAATTTTGCTGTATTTTGAACAGGTTCACTGCAAACTTGGTGTACGTTCTGTATTTATTTGTTGCAAACCTTCTTGAATCGGGGGTGGTGGTGTACACTGCTCAAATAAATAAATACATAACGTCCACAAAAACTGCAAATCACTGATTAAGAAGTGAATAACTGATTTGTATACAAACTCTGCTACTGTGGATTAGTTGCAGGAATGTCTGATCATTAAAAAGCAGATTAGTATAATAGTATATGTTCTGGCAAGGTTTAAGCCTAAGGGTACTGCTAATGCATATCCAGCAAAAAAAAATTGTTCTTCAACCTGCATTTGAGTAAAAAAAGTCAACTTGGAATTCCTCCAAGATAGTTACATCACTGTTTCACTACCATTGCTATAATAATCTTGAGCAAGATAAAATAATGCATTTTCATTCAATTTTCTAAGCACTAAACCTACCCCCCCCCCCCACAAATGCAAAACTTTCGTCTTCTTGCTCCCGGTGGGTTAACTTGGTTCTTAGTTACCAAGGGGCAGCATATAGATTATCTCCTTATTGCCATGTTACCATGGTGATTCTCTAATAGAGCAAGTAGAACTTGATTGGTAGAAGAGTTTCCAGTTCCGTGGTTTGTAAGGCAATGGTAATTCCATGTTGTATAAATAATTAATAGCACTATCGAAGAATGTATACTGTTAAATCTGCATAACAAGCTGCGGCTTCTATTAAAATAGTACAATGCAACAGATGTGGCTTTTATTAGAGCAATCTACACATGAAAAAGTGAATTCTTGGTTCTCAATTATTAAAAAAGAATGAGTAGATTCTGATGCAGATTTTTCGGTAGCCCTTCAACATTTTCATTACAATACACCATAAACCATACAAGCCAAATTTGAAACTTTTAGATTTGTAATCACATCCAGTTTGTGAATGATGTTGCATTAACTTCATCCGGGGATTTCTGAGTGCAGCAAAACTATTCTAAACAACAATTACTGCTGGTTCTGTCAGTTATGTGACTAAATGTCTTGCCTAGCTGTCATTCCTATTCCGTCTTACATGTAACGAAATAATTTATATGGTCTTAAAAAGGTTTCAGTTAGGCTGCAAAATGTATGCATACTAATTATGGGCTTGTTTTCACAACACTGCCCAGTAACAAATGTGGTGACTTGGATTTCTGATTTGCTCTAGAAAATAGAAGCAAATGTATTGTGGGTAATCATTTTAGTTATAAACAGAAATCTTTAACATATAATGTAGACTTGCCAACCTAACACATAACCAGCAGTTTTTTTGGCAGATGGCATGACTTGTGTTTAACTTTGCATTTGTTTTCCAACATGGTTGATTTCTGGACAGGTTTTTAATGAAGCTGAGCCATGAAACGGTGACAATTGAACTGAAGAATGGGACATTGGTACGCGGTACAATAACAGGTCTGTCCACCGATGTAACACAAGTAATCTAGAGACCTGAATTATCAGATCGTGATATCACCATGCTTCATTGTGTTTCATGCAATGCATGACAGTTCTTTCAGACTCTGGATTCTCTTCTTTAAATACAGATATTAAGTTTTATTGGTAATAACATGATACTACAAGGATCGGTCTGGCTGTGTGTGCTTGGAATATCTCAAATTCGTGATACGCTTGTGTGTACATATATTGTCCGTCTCTAAATCTGATATTAAGCAATAATAATGTGATACTACCACATAGCAGTTGAAGAGTTTATTATTTTAGAACTTTGTTTTGATTGTCAGTTATTGACTATTTGCATACCTTTGTATTTCAGGTGTAGACGTGAGCATGAACACACATTTAAAAGCTGTCAAGATGACTGTGAGAAACAAAGATCCAGTCCAGATTGATACACTCAGTATACGTGGCAACAACATCAGATATTTTATTTTGCCAGACAGTTTACCACTAGACACACTATTGGTTGATGACACACCCAAGGCAAAGGCCAAGAAGAAGGAAGCAGGTAAATGTTTGCCCACTGTATAGTTGAAGTATTGTAAATGCATTAATTATTTACTGGTTTTTAATTTTTTTTAAATTCACCATAAGTAAAATTAGCTGAATTAAATCACTACAACAATACACCTCATTGTTTCGTTTCCAAGTAATATTGCTCAAAACATCAAATAGTGAAATTAAATGCCAGTGGTAATAAATGTGTTTTTTCTAATTCTGAGCAGAGATGTTTTGGTCAGTCCATGTGTAGATGTCTATATATAATAGACCATTCTAATTGCCTGTGTGCCACAAGTGTAACATGTCTGTTAGCCTGGAAAGTGAAAAAGACTGAATTGCGTACATTTAAACCTTACCTGGATCTCTAATAAATAACATTTGGCACTTGTTTTAACTCTTTGAGTGACAGATATTTTCTCTGCCAAAAATTCAGTGTGACTATTTTCAAATTTATAAAGAGAAGCAGACTGTACACAACCATTTTGTAAATGGTGCCAAATGTTGACCATGGTACAATTTAATTCCTACTATGTATGAAGACTGACACTGGTGTATCTAATTTATATTACAGCTGCTGGAAGAGGCAGAGCCAGAGGTCGAGGCAGAGGACGTGGACGTGGTAGGGGACGAGGCAGAGGAAGATAGACATAATATTTATGTTTTATAAATTTAATATGTGCAAGATTTTTTTTTTTAAGTTTTCTTGTATAGTTGGGTGGGGGGTCGAGGGTGCTTTGACTTTGGTCTTTCGTCCCCTATTTAAAAACATGCTTTTGCACGGCCAGATATTCAATTGAGTAGGTTTAGCATAAAGTAATTGTACATTATTTATTCAAATAATGACTTATATTATGTTCTACACTAAATTTTGTTTTTCGAGAAAGTTGTCGATGTGACAATACGATGAATTGTTTTCATCTTGACCAAATATTCAGTAACTTCATATTTAAATAGTGTGAAGTTACAAGGGGAAACTGTAGGTGTAGTTGTCACAAGATAAACACTGTTTCAATACAGTGACTTGGTAAGTGTGTGTGCGCAAAGCTTCTCTCAATTTAAACATTCCTAAACTTGAATAGATTGTACCAAAGCAATTGACAAAATAATTTCAAATCTGCTGTTTGAGGAATTTCTTGGTTTGTGTATTTGGTACGTCTAGGCCTGCAATACTAGTACAGGTAAGCACCTATGTTTGAAAAAATTACGAAATGTAATCTTTTTTTCTGTAAATATATGAAGAAGTTTGAGCCTCAGTGATTTTAGTTTTCAGTGGTGTCCCAATTTTGTGTTTTCTTGTTACCAGGAATTTTGTGTACAATATTATTTCTAAGCAATTGGCTGCACCAGTTTATTTTCATGCATTCTTTAGTGAAACAAACTATAGGTAGTCTTGTTGATGGTTGGGGGGGTGTCGCTTTTGGATCTTGGTAAAGGTTTTATACATCTTTGTGAAAGATAAACTGCCTGTGTAATGACTTGATACATATTTTTATGTGGATGTTTTACAATAAAACTACAAAGTATATTGCTGGTCTTGTTCTCTCAACTAGAATCTACATTGTCAATCCTCTTTGACAAGTCTTGGGTAGTCTGTAGCTGAAGAATTGTCTATAACAATGAGCCATTTTGAGAAGTGTTGCATCCAGCCAAACTGTTCTTTTGTAAAGAATTGCATTTTATGGGCCAAACTCACAAGCCAATTTTCAACCCCCCAAATACCCATAATTCTTCGCAATAGAACAGTTTGGATGAACACCACCTTCAAAATTGGTTACAGTAATAGTCCTTGAGTATGTAATAATACATTTGGATTGTACTAGCCTGGAATCCAACCCTTCACAGTACACTGGGCTGGTGAATCACTAAGCAACTAAATAGTCTGTGCGGAATTCTGTGTGATCACCAATTTGCTGCCTCTATGATTTTAGTACATTACCATGGAACTCACATGCGCAGACAATCCTGCGAGTAAGGCTCGCCCACAATACTAAAAACTGATCCACTAGTTTTATTATTCATGGATTTTTCAAAATCTTGTGATCATAGCTAGCTTGATTGCATGTACAGGATGGTACTGGATATGCGAGATACCGTAATATCAGGTGAAATGCACTGAATCAGCATAACTTTGTTCTTGCAGGGCATTATAGTGATAATGCCTGCCTGTTATCTAGTAGTGTCAATTTTAGAGATTGTGATCACAATGATCAAGACATTTTGCTGAAGGGGCGACTTCATGAAGATAAAAATCGGTGAAAAAAAAAATCTGTTGTAATTAACGTCTTTTGCTAGATTCTTGACACCACCCCCCCAAACCACACTTTAACTATCAGTAACTCTGGCCATCACCCACCCTTCCTTACTTCCCATTTTAATGAAACTTTGTATATAGGAATTTTTGAATATTCCATATATTACATCAGGGTTGAAATCCCATGCATATTATTTACCTTCTTTGTATAAATGGGGTCATGTGACCTCAATAATGCTCATAATTACCCCTCGCTAAGTCACGATTTTGGCCAAGTTGTGGATAGTTGGATGGCTCCCAAGAATTCTATTGTTTTGCTGACAGTTTTGAAGTAAAAAAAAGTAACGTTTCATTGCATTGTGTATTTAATTGGCTGGCCAGAGGAGACATTTACTGAGATACAAAAGTGTCGCTACTCTGTAGCCAGAATCAAGGTGTTAATAGTGGTGTCAAATCGTACTTCTTGGCCTGTCCTTTGATATTGATCTATCTGATCTCTAGTTCTGCACTGAGCAGCATTTCCAAGCTAAAGCTGTCCGTATGTTGAAAACACTTGCAGCAATTGACTATGTCAAGAAAGGTGAAATCAAGTTGAGGGTTGCATGTGATCTTGCAATCGGTGAGTCAACTATTTGTAGATGGGTACAAAAAAATGATGAAAAGCCGAGAAAACTTGTTTTCAAAGTTGACCAAGAGGCGAACTGAACAGAAAATGTGCCAAGTTATCTGACAATAGTGACATAGATATAAAGGCTGTGGTGTTGGGAAGTTTTTCAATAAAGAAAAGGTTCTATAAACAAACCCATTTGTGTGTACCAGTATGTGCTTTTTCTTAATTTTCTTTGCTGACCCACAATCGCGACCCGCCATAAGTCATGGTTTTTGCTTTGATCCCAACATGACCTTCTTAACATCCATAACTAATATCTCAAGCACTTGCAGTTAGGGATATGTAATATAAAAGGCATCAGATGACTACATATATTCAAGTGACCTGATTAATATACATAACACTTAATTTATTAAGCACTGCTAAAGGTAGTGAAATGCAAACAGTGCTATATAAGGCTTATCTCGGAGCACCTATGTAAAACTTGAAAGTTCCACTGAAATCTAAGGAGTTATTCTTGAGATATTTGTGGAAAAGCTTTAAATTGGCTAATTATTATGCAAATTAGGTAACTAACATGATTCAATCAAACAAAACCTGATCGGGTATGCGCATTGTTCCAGGGCATCTATGTGTACCTACTTGGTTCATGGGATATCACGCAGACGCAGACATGCATACACACCAACTGCAAACACTCCATGTGAGCTTCACACACAGGAGTAAAAAATTACATACTTATCTAAAGTGCACTTGGTCCAGCAGTGCATTTACACAAAGCTTGTTGACTGATTGGTCTCATTTTGATTCCTGTGTATAGTTGCACAAGCTCAAATCACATCAGAACAATTCAGTGCTACAGTTCAGTGACAATCAGTATATCACAACATGAGAAAGGTCACACTGAACACAACACCAAGGAGTCACAGTACAATAACGAATGTCTGCATCAGGTTACCAAGTTGAAAATATCAACCGTTTCTCACGGGAATGTCAGTGTCGATTTCATTAAAACTTAGTATAAAGCTCATACACTGTGGAAAGGCATTTGATTTCACAAACAACTTTAAAATGCCCAGCTATGGTAGACATTTTTATCGAGGTGTCGATACCCCATAATGCATCAACAGATTTTGTCCACCTAACAGAATACGAACAATTTATTTTTTGATTCACTCTAATTCAACTATTTATTGGTCATGAATTTTTCTTATATACCTGTGCCAAATCCAATCACAACTCACGAACACTTTTTGGCTGAGAGCTTACTAATCATTAACAAAATTGGTAGAAAACAATCCTACATTTTAGAAGCAAAATCTTTCCATATGCAAAATAAAATACATCTGGTTATACGATTACGTGTGTGCGTTATCTCCTTAATTATACCATTTTTAGTCGTGTGACCTATTGTTCTGGCTGCATGTTTATTCCTGTGAAACTACTCTGGAAACGCTCTGTTTTTTTCACTGGAAACTGTCTTGGTTTACTCGTAAATCAAATAGATTCATTGTTGCAAATTGTCCATGTTTACAGGTTAATCAGGCAGTTTCAGGCCTTCTCTCATGATGAATCTGTACTGCATGAGATTACAATGTACATTGTACTCTTCAACCACCCCCAGCACCAAACACCGCGCAGGGCAACTATGACAGTGGTGCCACCAAAACCAATCTGATGCCATACAGAACTTTTAATTCTAAGAAACTAAGTTGTGGAAAAATAAATCAGGTTAAAAAAAAATGAATAAACAAGCCATGCATGGCACAGTCCTTGTTAGTTATCGAATTTAAGATGTATAGTTTTGTTTATAGTAATATAGCTGGAATATAAACATGTCAGGAATATGATTATGATAATTGTTTAATATTTAAATGATTGAATATATAAAATTTGAACATAGTCAGTCAAAGCATGTCAGAGATATGGCTCTAGAACCACATTCATTAAAACAAAATGGCCACTAGTCACTAGCCATTCTGAATCCGATCTAAAAAATAAAATAACGTGCATCAGTAACCCATAACAAAATCCATTCATAAATGCCAGAAATGCTTCATATTTGATGATTTGTTAGCACAAAAATGGCCACCATTCAGCCATTTTTGATAGGATAACATGATGTATAATGAATATTTAAAATTTGAACATAATCAGTCACAGCAAGTCGGAGATATGGCACTAGAACCACATTCATTAAAACAAAATGGCCGCCAGTCGGCCATTTTGAATCTTATCTGAAAAGAAAATGATGTGCATCAAGGTCCTATAATGTCTAACGTATATACCAAGTTTGAACAAAATCCATCTGTAAACAGCCGAGAAATGCTTGATTTTGATGATTTTTTAGCACAAAAATGGCCACCATTCGGTCATTTTTGATAGATCGTTAAACCAGTATATCTGTATATCTATGACATGATGTATAATGATATTCAAATTTGAACATAATCAGTCACAGCAGTCAGAGATATGGCACTAGAACCACATTCATTAAAACAAAATGGCCACCAGTCGGCTATTTTGAAACTTATCTGAAAAACAAAATGATGTGAATCAAGGTCCTATAATGTATATACCAAGCTTGAACTATGATTTTTTAGAACAAAAATGGCCGCCATTCGGCCATCTTGAATCAGATCGTGAAAAAATTGATGTGCATATGTATAATATCATGTATGATGTATGTGTGAAGTTTGATTGTGATTGGTCCAGGCATTTCTAAGATACAGACGCACAAAGGTCAAAACAAAACACTGCGTCCGAACGGGGACTAATAAACAACTTGGCAAGCAAAATCATATGTGTCTAGTTTTCTGTCAGTAATAATTGTTTAATTATTTTTTTGAATGAGCTGCTTGAGATAATTAACCTAATTGTAGCCGGGATATTATTTTTTGAATAAAGGGGCCAAGTGTTCAGTGAACAAACTAAACGTCATTGCGCGACTAACATTTTCTGGGTCATATAAATGGCATTTGAGTGTGAGTGATATGTATTACACCGCACCTCCAGACCATAAGTAATATTCGGCTGAATAAGAGTTATGAAGCAATATTAAATTGTTAAGGGGTATGAGGTGTCTAAGTTTAAATAATAGGCCACACTTTTTTCTAATTACTGTATACTGTGGATGTGATTGATGTGACTGGACCAAGTAAGATGTTTTATCCATTGAAACACCAATAAATAAAACTACTGAAACTACCGGTACTCTGACTTCCTGAACACATTCTTCTTGCCACATTAGGTTAGATACGTTTGCTACTAAAAATGATATAATTCGTTTTCCTTTTTATTTATGGAAAGTATGTTGGCATCACACCATAGCAGGACATCATTTAAATGGGCGGTTGCGTCATGTAAATTGAGTATGCAATTTTCTTCATAAGTATGAAATAAGTTGAGTCGTCAGCAAAAAGGTAAAAATTAAAAAATTTAGTCGAATTGGGAAGATCGTTCATATAGAATATAAATAATGTTGGGCCTAGAACAGAATCTTGGGGTACCCCGTAATTAATGCTTGTTTTAGATGATGGTATTCCATTGCAATGTACATATTGGGACCTGTTATGAAGATAATCTTTGACCCATTGAAGTGAGACCCCCCTAAACCCATACTGTTCTAACTTTCATAATAAAATATTGTGATTGATCGTATCAAAGGCCTTGCTGAAATCTATAAATATACCTAGCGTGGGCTTTCCCTGGTCAATATTACGTACCAAATGATTTACCAAATTAATTAGGGACAGTTTTGTGCTATGCTTTTTCCTGAATCCGTATTGATGTTTGTGAAGTATATTATATTTTTCAAGATAAGTAGCAAATTGCTGATTTACAATGGTTTTTAAAATTTTACTAAAAAGAGGTAATACTGAAATAGGTCTATAATTATACTAGCATCTTGCTTTTTACCCTTCTTGAAAATTGGTGTTACCTTGGCAACTTTCAACATAGTGGGAAATTTACCAGAGGAAAAGGAGCTGTTAAAAATGTGTGTCAAGGGATAAGAAATAATGTCTGCTGCATCAATTAAAACTCTAGGTGGCAAGTTATCTCAGCCACAAGACTTCTTTGGGTCCAAGTTATTTAAAAGGTGTGTTACCTTACAGTAGTGGGGTGGAGAAAAATTTATTTATATTTGGTCGGCCAAGATAGTTTAAAAGTTGTTAGAGGCCGATGTTAGAAAATGGACAAATCTGGGAGAGATCTACCTGTAGTACCTATATGTATAATATCAAAGCAATCAGACTTTTGGTTTTCAACAAGAAGTCAAAAATATCACTTTTTACCATTAATGACAAAAATAGAGAATTAAAGATCACGAAATGAACAAATCTAAGAGAGGTCTGACCAAGTATCAAAGCAATATGAAGTGTATTTTTCAAGAAGAAGTTGAAAAAGTAAAAAGTTTACACGGACGACGAACCCCAGCGGCGATCACTTGCATGATAAGCTCAGCTCGACAAAGTCAACAGCAGAGCTAAAAAAGTTCAATTCTAGTGTTCAAATCTACAACATGAACCACAGCAGGCAGAGTCTGTAATGACTGAGCCATTGTAATTTCTAATGGAGGTTCTGGGAAAAAATAGGTATTACAAGGGTAATTTCAACGTCATGTGGTATACATTTAATTATTCATGAGCCAATGACAAAATGTATTGCATTTATATGAATTAATGTTCAGCAATGTGCACTGGCAATGCAATCAATTGCTGAATCATTCAATTTTATTTTTTTTGTGGTACAAGCCCAAAACACTCACTCGAAAATGTGGCTTTACTAATACCTATGACTACGAGGACACTAATAAGTGGTCTAGTAGATAGCAAGCTCATTCAATTTACTCAACTCTAACCAAAACTGTGGTAAACCCACACTTTCTGTTTTTCTAATACAAAGCTACAAGTATCAAATCAATACAAGATATATGTATTAGTCCTGTTTAAATTTCTTTTTTCCAAAAAAAAATTGTAAAACACAGAACACTGTCTTTTTATTCATGCACACTGACAAAGCAAGACACGAGTTGGTATCCATACCTGCAAAGCAGGACAAGTGACAACATTTCTGACATTGTAAGTTGTTTTCCATACGTACGAAGTAGGACAAGTGAAGTGACAACATTTTGGTCATCTTTGTATTCATATGTATGAAGCGAGACAAGTAAAAACATTTCGGTTATCTCAAGTCAGTATCCATACATATGAAGCCGGACAAGTTGCAACATTTCGGTTATCTCAAGTTAGTATCTATACATGATGTGGTATCAATATGTACATTCGAGGAGAATAGAAAATTACACAAAACTATCAATTAGTGTAGATATCCGACAACATATATTTAATATATGGGTATATTATTTACAAAACATTTAAAAATCATTCCATATTCCACATGTGGCCTTTGTATTTGAGTTTCCTCACTAAATGTGGATTATACTGTGAATTATAACGGCGAGTTCTGTCATCAGTATTTACTGTTTCTTTGCTATGACTCGATTCACCAGATAAAAGTTTATTAGCTTTGGCTCGCTCTGCCCGCTCTCTTTGTAGTCTTTCAGCTCTCAACTGCTCAATTGTGGGTGTCTTCTTGTCAGCTTTTGCATGTTTGTGTCTTTCTTTAGATTCCTGTAATAAAAACAAATGCATGTCAAACTCACCTACTTATAAATACAAATACATGTACCACATTCGCTTTATTTGTAGAGAATGTGCTCATGTAAATGACAGACATGTATCTATGGTAAAAATAATGATCCGGCAAACAATAATGAAATTTTTGAGAAACACACTTCTAATAGAGCAAATCCAGTATATAGAAAACCATGAGAAGAATATAATGTGCAATTATCATAGAACTTCATCAGGCATCACGGGCATCACCAAACTAACAGCACAATTATTTTTGCAGTCTTGCCTTATGGAGAGTATATTGTTAGCTTCTCATGTTGTGCACCACAAAATGGGATGCATATTAGTGTGTACAAACCTTACCTTTTCTTTTTTATGCTTATGTTTATGTTTGTGTTTTTTTCTCAGATACTTGTCCATATCCTTCAGTGGATCTAGTGTGTCTTTTCTTTTTCGATCAACAGTACTGTGGAGAATAACAAATTCAAGGACTGTAATTAATTAAGAGGTAAAAAGTGCTAAAAACTAAACCGTGATTCCGAAATTTTCGAAAAGTTACTAATCATGACAATCTGTTTCTAGTAGCATGTCTGTAGTTAAAATGGTCGTAGATAGAAAACAAAGGCAGTCTAAACATGAGACGTGACAGTCCAGCCTTCAGTCAGAATGCCGGTAGTAAAAAAAGCATAACCAGTACTGAAATTCGCTGTTAGGTAATCCATCAGACAGCCATTGGTATGACATATTCACTACCATATTTGCCTATATCTAAGCTTTCAGATGAAGTATAAGTTGTTGTAGTAACGTGCTTAGTAACATGTTTAACAATTTTTACTCTGGTTGCCACCTTAAACTGAATCATATCATTTGCAACTACACTAAGTCATTTTATAGACAGCGGATGGAAAGTCTTGAAGTCTCAATTATCCATGAATTCAACCAGGCTTGGATTCTGAGGATACATGAGATGACGGCGATCAAGATCTTCAGTCATGGTGAAATCAGGGACAAGTGTGAGCAAGAATGTGTCGGTGAACAGATCTCCAAGCATTCAGAATTACATG